CAGAAACAGTGATATCGAGCCATTGATAGGACAGTAAGAGGCAGGATAGTGTAGGGAGATTTTATTTGTTTCTGAATAAAAACATACACTCACTGATAGAAGAGTGGGCCCACTTCCTATTCTACTAAGGGCCTGAGGAGGTGACCCAGAACTCTATACCTCAGCTTTCTTGTGTTACTGGAGATAATAATACTTGTTGCCACCTTTCCACATGATGCAAAAAGATGACTGGATTAGTGTTTGTGAACCGGTTTGAGCTCCCTGTTAGAAGGATGTCAGGTTCATAGTCAGCAAGGTGTAAAACTGGATGTTCAGGTGAGTAATTACAGGGAACCATATGGTTCTCTAAGGCAGGGCCAAAACTCTTTGTACATCAGGTATTACAATAATTGGAAAGAAGGCATCTGAGTGTTAATTACTCCTGACTTATTTTAAAAACCTGGAATTCCTTAACATACCTCTGCTGACACAATATATGTACATCAAATATGACAAATCCCTTTTTGGTCAGACAGTGTCTGACCAAATCACAGAGGTGTCTAATCACAGAGGTGTCTAAGATTAGCTAAGAGGAAAGGAAAAAAAATCTAAAATTCTAAATTTATAAATTTATATTTAATATAAATAGGCATTCTCAGCAATATACTGAAACTAAGAATCAAATCAGTGGGAGAAGAGGAGGAATGAACAGGACAGATGAAAGGACAGAACAAATAGGAAGTTTCAAAGGTGAAACTGAAGACAGGAAATGACTCAGCCACAATTCCAGGAGGGAGTTCTAGTTAGGTGAGTTGTAGATGATACTATAGCCTGGGAAACTCATTATGTACAGAGGACAAGATTCTAGGAGCTGATTGCAGAGCGTCCTCAGGAGTCATGGACACAAAGTCTAATGAAAATAATATAAAAAATATTCTCCTCTTGGGGCGCCTGGGTGGCTCAGTCTGTTGAGTGTCTGACTTTGGCTTAGGTCATGATCTCACAGTTCATGGGCATCGGGCTCTGTGCTGTCAGCATGGAGCCTGGGGCCTGCTTCAGATTCTGTGTCTCCCTCTCTGCCCCTCCTCTGCTCATGCTCTGTCTCTCTCTCTCTCTCTGTCTCTCTCTCAAAAATAAAGAAACATTAAAAAAAATTTTTTTTTAATTCTCTCAGAGGAGAAAATCTTGGTGTCTTTTACTTTTGATACTCAGGGTAAAAAGTCAACAAGGGTAAAAAAGGGTAAAAAGTCAACAAGTCTTGTTCTTATAAAAACAAGAACAAGGGGCACCTGGCTGGGTCCATAGGTGGAGCTTGAGACATTTGATCTCAGGGTTGTGAGTTAGAGCCCCACAATGGGTGTAGAGATCACTTAAAAATAATTTAAAAATCTAAACAAAAACAAAATAAGAACTCAGGGCAGTTTTAGTCATTGACCCTTGAAATAGCTGAAATAATGGTAGTAAAAATAATACAAAAAGATCGAGGTGAAGGAAAAATATACCTGTTATTCTAAATTTAAATTATTCATCATTTTTTAGGAATATTTATTTATTTTTGAAAGAGAGAGAGAGAGGCAGAGAGAGAGGGGGACAGAGGAGCCAAAGCTGGCTCTGTGCTGACAGCCATCAGGCTGTGGGGCGTGAATTCACCTGCTGTAAGATTGTGACCTGAGCCCAAGTCAGTCACTTAGGTGACTGGGCCACCCAGGCACCCCTAAATTGTTCATCATTTTGAGGAGATTGCACCGTTCCAGACACTGGGAGTATAGTTACAAACAAGAGGGGCATGGCTCCTACCTCTCTAACAGGCTGCAATCCTCAGATACATGACTATGATCTGGGAAGAACATGGCCAAGGACTGCGTTATTGGCATTTATAAAACCATGGTGAAAGCAAGTGTAGACATGTTCAACTGGAATTCTTCAAATAGGAAGCACTTGAAATTTTATTTCCTTATTATTTTAAAATGTTTATTTTGAGAGAGAGAGAGAGAGAACACATGTGTGCTTGCAATCACAAACCGTGATCATGACCTGTGCCGAAATCAAGAGTTGGATGCTTACCAACTGAGCCACCCACCTAGGAACACTAGCACTTGAGATTTTAAAAGTGAATCTAATTCAGGGATCTAAAAAGCTTCTTAGCAAAGTAATACTTTGCCAAGGGCAGGGAAGGAAAGCCAAAGGGGTACAGTATCTGTTAAATTCTTGTGAAATGAAATAGTACTATGTTTTTGAGGAACCAAAAACAGTGCAGATTGGCTGGAGAGAAGAATGGGTGCCATGATAGCGTAATGGCAGATTAGGTGATAGAGTGGATCTAGAATTTGAAGTATTTTTATATGCTATGCTACAGTTCAGGCTTCATTCTAAATCTGAGGATGACTCAAATATTTTAAGCAGGGAATAACAGAATCAGATCTGCCTTCTGAAGATCCCTCAGGCATCAGTGGTAGTGGAGGTAAGGGAAGAGTAGAGGTGTGAACATTTAAATTTAACACATGAATAAAGATGATGGAATAGATATGAAATAGATAAGTAATAAAAATGCAGGATGTTACTGAGAAAGGGATTGGATATGAGAGTTGAGTGAAAGGAAGGTACTAGAACAATTGCTAGACCTCGGGTTTGAATATGCCACTTAACAAGATAGGTAATAGAAAATAAACAGAATTGTTTGTTTTTGAAGGTGGGGAGGAAAATAGAAGGATTATAAATCTAGTCTTTACTTGAGCTTGAGGTACCAGTAGGAAGTACAAGTGCACATGTTCTTCTTCAGTTGAGGACAAAGATCAATCACAACTGCTCACACATGTTTCTTGGGAGACATATTTTGTAACTTTTTATGTGTTATCAGTCCCCTCAAAAAGGAAGAGGAGTGAATAAGCAGGTTGTATGTTGGTCACTATAAAATGGAGAAATAGTACCTTAATAATATGGAAACATAGTTCTTAATAATATGTGACCTAAGACCCCAGTTCATATACAAATAAAACATGGCAACATGGGTTACAAGTCCAATGCTGTCCATTAAACTGTAATAACAGTAAAGCAGACATGATAAAATAAGATGTACTATTTTTATCTTTTTGAAATTATACCTTGAGTGGTTGTGTGTATTCCATAGTGATAATTTTATTGGTAGTAGAGAAGAAAAAAAATTAATGCCATCAGTTTTACGTGCAATTTTCCTGCACAGCTTTAATTGTTAACATCTTTTCCTTATTATATCGTTAAATATTACTTTTGTCCTAATTTTCAGTCAAGAGGTTAGTAGCTATATTAACTTTCTTTAGAAGCTTATTAGCTCATTAAGAATGTTTCCTGTCAACCTAAGCACATAAAAACATACACTATGGTACTTAAAAGATTAAGCTTGTATATTATATTCATTCAAACATCGTTTAATGATCCAGGAAAACATCTTCAGCTGTTCATCTAGGATTTTACGTTGTATTCACGATGCGTTTATTTTCTATTTTCATCAAAAGATTCTGCTATGAATCCTGCTATTTGTAAACCCATTCATTCTAAAACATTGCATTTTTAGTCTAAGTCCCTTTCAAAGTTATCTTTCTCCCTCAACGCATCACCGTCAAGATCTAAAGTTTTTCACTATCCCTTCTCCCAAGAAAAAAATGAAAACATTCGTTCCTGCTCCTCCCCCCACCCCCACAACCCACCCCAGATAGGAAAGAAGAGGCGAGGCAAACTGGAACAAGTTGCGACGGGCGACCCAAAGCGCAGAATTAGCTAAATCCGGGCTCGAAACGGAGACCGGGATCAGTCACCATGTCCGGAAGGATCTGGGCTATCTGCCAAAAGAGAACGTCCCCAAAGCCTCAGAAACTGACTGGTGCTAAGAAACCAGAGAAAGAACGAGTGACAAGCACAGAAAGAGGCCCGACCCTCTGGGACATCCTGAAACACGCAAGGAATGCAAAAGCAACGTCAGGAATCCGGGACCGGCTGCGGCTGGCCAGAGCGCCCAGCCAGGTTAAAACCCAGCTCTGTAGGCAGGCATGCTGCTGAGACCCTTGGGTGGGGAAAGGCGCCCTGGGGGCTTGGTGACTGAGCGACGGAAATTGTTGGCAGCATGAGACCGGTTGGCTCCCAAAAGCGCGAGTGGTTCACGTTCCGGTACCCACACGGAGACACCCGGAGCAAGTCTGAGGGAGGGCCTAGGGGCGGGGCTAGAGCTCATACCCAGCCTCAAACGCCAACCCTTACTGAGTCTTCAGTACGCCTGCGTATGGTGAGACCGCACTCTATTTGGCTGCTGGGCGTGCGGCGGCAGCGGCGTTCTCTACCCGGCATGCTGCGCGGTTGTGACGGTCCTACGTCTATCCCCTTCCCAACCCAGCCCCCTCTCCCCCTCCCGCCGCGGCCCCCCCCTTTCCCTAAAGTGAGTGAGTGAGACGGACAGATGGAGGAGGGACTGTAATGGCGGCGACCGGCAGCTCCCTACTCTGACCCACGGCAAGCATACAGCACCGACCCCCTCCTCGCTCCTCTCCCAGCCGGCCTCCGCCCCGCCGCCAGCGCGGGGCCACCCTCCCCGGCCCTTCCCCCAGCCGTCGGCTTCTCGCCCTGCGCCCCGGCCGGGGCCCCACACACAATGGACGAGCTTGCCGGAGGCGGTGGTAGCGGCCCGGGGATGGCGGCCCCTCCACGGCAGCAGCAGGGACCTGGGGGGAACATGAGCCTTTCGCCAGGGGGGAATGGAGCGGCGGGCGGCGGGGGTCCTCCAGCCGCCGAGGGAGCGGGTCCCGCGTCAGGCCCGGAGCTGTCCCGGCCGCAGCAATACACTATCCCAGGGATCCTGCACTACATCCAGCATGAGTGGGCTCGGTTCGAGATGGAGCGGGCGCACTGGGAGGTGGAGCGGGCCGAACTGCAGGTACCTCGCTGGGGCGGTGTGCGGGACGGCTGCGGCGGCAGGGTTCCCGGTCGGGGGGGGGGTGGGGCCGGGACTCCCCTCCGTCCGAGCCCCGGGCCTTGGGAGGCCGAGGGGAACCTACCTGTGCAGCTCGGGGGGGGGGCGATACTCCTGCCTATGGTTCTGGCGACGGCTCTTCCGAGAGCCCCCCTCCCCCTTTCCCGCAGAAGCTTGTTCCCCAACCCTTCTTAGCTGCGCGGTGCGGGCTTCCTTGGGGCAGCCATTTTGACTTTTAGTATGGCGTCTGCGGGGGCTCCTCTGGAGGCGGCCTGCCGGGCCTCCGGGGCTTGGGACTAAACTCCTTTCTGTGGGATAGTCCGGCTTGGGGTTACTGGGCATTGAGGTGGTTTTTGATTGTGCCTGTTGAGATGGAGAACCCGAGGAAGGGGTTTGGGATGGACATTTCATTACCTTTTTCCTCATCACCCGCCCCCCCCCATCCGATTTGGCATTTTTGGCCCCCTCCCCCGGAGTTGGTACGCACTTGCCCCTTGACAGCCACGCTTCTTTCCAGGTCTTGCTGCATACTTGTGAAGTTTTCATTTCGTATCGCCAACTTTAGGTACCTTCTTACCTGGGATGCTGCCTTATTCACTTAGGTTCTCTTTTAGTTAGTTCTTCCTCAGTGACTGACTCATCTGTGCTTCCCTAAATTGAGTTTTTCTTTTTAGAGTACCCTTCAGCCGGCCTCCTCCTCCTCCATCCCCTTTATCCATAAAAAGCCAAACCAGAGTATCTCTGCTGTCTTTATGAAACGACTGAGAAAAGATTTAATACTAGCTTGAAGTAAAACGTACTTTACCACGTTACTAACACAGGGGAAGCAAAGTTAAATATCCTCAGGACCCTTAATAATTGAGCCTTATTTGATCTTTTTAAGGTGAAACTTTGATAGGCTGGTTAACTTTTGGAAGATGTTGGTAGCTGAAGCGCTCATGTCTTGAATTTCAGAACGGCTATATCTTTTTAAGAGGATTGTTCAACTCTTGGGTATTTGTGTTTATTTTTAAATCCCTTTCCAGGGCAAATTTAGGCTTAGAAGAAAAAAGCATGCATCTAAATAGTGTCGCACCTGTTCTTCAGACTGGTATATATTTAGAATGTAAGCAGTAGTGTTGGCTGATATATACGTCATATATGTTGGTGAATAGTTAGGAAAATGTAGTGTTTAAAGAAGGAAGATTGGATTAATTTAGAGTGTCTTCAAACAAATGTATATTACTTTAATTTTGAGTTAGTAAACTTTTATTGGACTCTACAAAGTTGTTGAAGCTAAACTTTTAAAAAAGTAAGGATGTTGGGATGCGGGTGGCTCAGTTGGCTAAGTGTCTGACTTCGACTCAGGTCAAGATCTTGCCATCTGTGAGTTTGAGCCCGAGCAGGGCTCTGTGCTGACAGCTCAGAGCCTGGAGCCTGCTTCGGATTCTGTGTCTCGCTCTCTCTGCGCTTCCAACGCGCGCTCTCTCTGTCTCTCTCTACCTCTCAAATATAAACTTAAAAAACATTTTTTTACAGGGTAAGGATGTTTCGGAGCGCCGTGGGTGGCTTAGTTAAGTGTCAGACTCTTGATCTCAGGGCAGATCGCGATCTCAGGGTCATCAGTTGAAGCCCCACTTGGGGCTCCACAGCCTGGAACCTACTTGAAAAACAAAAAAAAAGCATTGGTGTTTATATTTCTTGACTCTTTATCAAGTCTTCAAAAAAATTAATTACAAGTTAATACCTGTTAGTCAATTCAGTGTTTTAAAATTGTGCTTTGATATACTTTTGGACTTTTAAAAGTATAGTTTTCAAAAAGCTTAGGTAAGAATTGTCTGTTGTTTCTTTAAACTTGTGTATAATGTGGTTTAAGATGTCTGGGATTTATAGAGTTCTACTGATACACAACTTTTTACTATACTATGTTGCAAAGAATATTTTTGTGAAGATAGTGAGACAGTTATTTTTTAAAATTGCATTTACAAATGCACAAGGCCTGGACTCACTAAATAATACCTCACCAGTCCCTGGATACAGTGTCTATGACCTTTGCACTATGGTATGAAAGCTTGTATTCCCCCGCCCTAGAGGGTGAGACGTTTATTTTGCCCTGTAAGTACCTTGAAATATTGGATTTCAACACTTTGCAAGTTAACAATGCATTTATAAGCTCCGCTAATTTAAGTATCTGAAAAAATGTCTTATTTGTGTCTAAATTAATAAAATCTATAACTTAATGAGATCTATATTGTCTCCCTTAGCCCTTTCTTTCCCTTTTAGTTCTCTTTGCCAGTAATGGTAAAAAAATTTAAAAAAATTTTTTTTAACATTTATTCATTATTGAGAGATAGAGACTGAGCATGAGCAGGGGAGGGGCAGAGAGAGGGGGAGACACAGAATCCGAAGCAGGTTCCAGGCTCCAGGCTGTCAGCACACAGCCCGATGCGGGGCTCGAACTCACAAACCATGAGATCATGACCTGGGCCGAAGTTGGACGCCCAACCGACTAAGCCACCCAGGCACCCGTAAAAATCTTCTAAGATTCCTTTTCCTTGTTTGCTTTCCACTTGATGTGCTATTGGCATATTAGTCCTGATAAAGCCATTGTAATTTTTTTTTGTTTGCTTATTTTGAACAAATTCTACAGTGTTTCTAGACTCTTGTTTCCAGGGATTTTCATTATTTCACAGAGATTCTTTTGGAATAAAATGTTCGTGATTATATTTGTATGATTTTGTTCTTCATATTTCTCTAAAATGTTTTATTGGGTTCCTTAGTTAATTGGGTTTCAGGTTTGCTTCTGGAATACTGAATTTACTTTAGATAACTTCAGTCTTGAATAGGATTGCTTGTGAGAAGCACATTTAAAAATGTATGTGTTGGGGTGCCTGGGTGCCTCAGTTGGTTTAGTGTCTGACTTCTGCTCAGGTCATGATCTCACGGTTTGTGAGTTTGAGCCCGCATCCAGCTCTCTGCTGTCAGCACCAAACCCGCTTCTGTACCCCCTCTCTTGCCTCTGTCTTTCTCTCTGTCCCCCCTCTCTTGCCTCTCTCTTTCTCTGTGTCTCAAAAATAAATGTATGTGTCAAGGATTGCCTGGCTGGCTCAGTCGGTAGAGCATGCAACTCTTGATCTCAGGGTTGTAAGTTCAAGCCCCATGTTCGATGTAGAGATTACTTAAAAACTAAAATCTTTTTTTTCCTTTTTTTTTTTTTTTTTAATATTTTTACTATTTTTGAGACAGAGAGAGACAGGGCATGAGCCGGGGAGGGGCAGAGAGAGAAGGGCACACAGAATCCAAAGCAAGCTCCAGGCTCTGAGCTGTCAGCACAGAGCCCAACGCGGGGCTCGAACTCACGAACCGCGAGATCATGACCTGGGCCGAAGTCGGACACTTAACAACTGAGCCACCCAGGTGCCCCAAAAACTAAAATCTTAAAAAAAAAATGTGTCAAATAAAAAATTTATTAGAGTTTAGGTGAAGCATCACTGTATTTTGACTGTAAACTTAAACTTATTTTAAAGAATGATAATGTATAAGAAAGTTTAAATATCATTATTGTGTACAGCCTTGGGTCACTGTTGATGTATAGATGAAGTGACCAAAAAATGTTCAGTATTAGAACTATTCAATAACAAATATGACTAGGTTAAGGTAGTCCCAGTTTTGATGTAAAATTTCAATATGAAATCATATTTTCCCTGGCTTTGGAAAGGATTTTAAATTGGAACTTTGCAGTATGGTTCTGTTCTCTGTAAAAAGTGCTTTGGGTAAAGGTCTGTCCTAGCAACTTGGAACTAAAGTAGAGGATCATGTCTTTTTTTTTTTTTTTTTTTTTTTTCAACGTTTATTTATTTTTGGGACAGGGAGAGACAGAGCATGAACGGGGGAGGGGCAGAGAGAGAGGGAGACACAGAATCGGAAACAGGCTCCAGGCTCTGAGCCATCAGCCCAGAGCCCAGCGCAGGGCTCGAACTCACGGACCGCAAGATCGTGACCTGGCTGAAGTCGGACGCTCAACCGACTGCGCCACCCAGGCGCCCCGAGGATCATGTCTTAATAGTGCTATTTTATTCTTGTAATATTAACTTACATGGGATTCAGGTAAAGCTTGAGTAAAGGCTCTAGGACGATGATTCCTAAGTGAGGGTGCTAATCAGAATCACTTGTAAAACTTTTAAAACTATGCAGGTCCCCGCCTTATCTTCCAGACTTTTGGATTAATTTGGTCTAGGACTTGTAAAAGATAGACCGTTTGGGGATTTTGGCAATTCATGTTATGGAAAAACTATAACTGACATTTGATGAGCACTACAACCTTATGAGGTAGATATCATTCCTATTTTATAGGTGAGGTAAACTTAGGTGAAATAACTTTGCCAAGGTCACTCACCTATAAGGTATTGCAGCTGAGATTTGAACCTTGGTTTGTATGAATCCAAAGCCTGTTGTCTTATTACCACTTTTATAACCACTATATTATGTTGTCTTAACATTTTTTATAGAAAGGGAATCTGACTTGTAATTCTTTTTTTTTTTTTAATGTTTATTTATTTTTGAGAGACAGAGAGACAGCATGAGCTGGGGAGGGGCAGAGAGAGAGGGAGACACAGAATCCGAAGTAGGCTCCAGGCTCTGAGCAGTCAGCACAGAGCCCGACGCAGGGCTCGAATTCACAAACCGTGAGATCATGACCTGAGTCAAAGCCGGACGCTTAACCAACTGAGCCACCCAGGCACCCCTGTAATTCTTTATCCACCATTATGTGGTACACATTGGTACATTTCAACATAGTTTTATTGAACCTCAATTGTGTGCCAGTTGTAGTTTATGTATGTTGCAAATGTGTCCTCCTGTTTTTCTCTGTAATGGTATGTAATATATGTACTTATATACACCAAATGCTTGTTAGCTATAAAAATATGACATAGATAATGCATAGAAAATGTAGTCCAGGAGTTTGTGTTCTAAAACTATTATGCAACAAATGTAAAAAAAATTTTTTTAAGTTTATTTATTTATTTATTTTGAGAGAGGGAGAGAATCCCAAAGCAGGCTTTGTGCTGTCTGTCAGCACAGAGCCGGACATGGGGCTTGTTCTCACAAATTGTGAGATCATGACCTGAGCCTAAATCAAGAGTTGGATGGTTAATCTGAGCCACCCAGGAGTCCCAACAAATGTAAAACTTTTAATTAGTGTTTGTGTTTGCACATCCTGGCCTACAGATTTGTCATAACTTGACAGATGTTGCCACTTAAAGACCTTCGTAGGTAATTTGCTTGAGTTGCTTACAACTTTTTTTTTTTTTTTTTGAGAGGGAGAGGGTGGGAGAGAATAATCTTAAGCAGGCCCCACACCCTTCGAAGGGCTCAGTCTCACAACCTCATGACCC